ATAGCAGCTTAGCTGCAAAATGTGAAAATGAAATTGTCATGTTTAATCACTTCTCTTCCTAAGAAGAAAGCTTTAAGTATGTGGAAATGGAATTACTCAAGTCAGAATTAGGCCAGCTGCTGTTACTAATATCACCGTGATGAAACAAGCTTGTTCATTTTGTATTCCAAGCATCTGTCACAGTATACAAAACATAATAGACACCCAAGTTTATTATTAAAAGAATGAATGAATTAATGATTGAGGGACAATCATTTTTTTCTGAAACTAATGAGTCAATGAGTGAAGAAACAATCTGAAGCATATGCTAAAGCGATAAACTATCATAAAAATGATCAATAACAGAGAAGTAGGACATGTCAGGAAAGAGCATGGATTTGTTAAGTCACATAAACTTATGTTTGAATCTTGTCCCTTTCACTTTCTTATTGTATGACTTGAGAAAAATGTCATCAAAGTTTTTCTTTCTGTAAAATGAAAATATTTATTACCTCCCAAAGTTGAATAAAAATATTTCTACACAAGACTCGGCCATGATTAGTGCTCAATAAAAATCTGTTTCCTATCATATCCTTAGAGCAAAACTCTTTTAAAATATGACAATGAAACATATTTACTAAAGAAAACTATACAGTTTTTATTTTGTGATATTTACATCTTTTCGATGCTGCTGGATAAAAGAGGGAGCTATCCCATCACTATTTTGTAATCCTCTCAAGTCCAGTGATTATTTCTCACATGTCATAGTGATCATTCCTAGCTGGAAGCATTGATAATTATCAACCTACATGTTCAACCTTCCACATATTTTTATGCCAATATTAATTAATATACAAATTAAGTAAAAATGGCTTCAGATCTTGAACACTTATTTCCAAGCAGTGAATTTTTATAATTGTTTTGTGTGTCTATTAGGTAAGAGAAGGGATCTGAGTAACTTCTATCCAAAGAAATAACACACTGAACTAAAGTCGAATGCTTAAAAATTTAATGATTAAAAAATGCATATGTAGAGGCAAAGTATTATTTCCAAAATATATTTGAAATACAAAAGGTTAAACATGAGCATCAGGAGCCAAAAGGTGACTCTCCTTCCCATCTTCCTTTTTCTCACTTCGTTCCTTGCACCCTTTCCTTTTCCTTTTACCAAACTTCATTTCATATAATATCTCAATGAGTATGTTGACTAATTCAACATTCAAATTTTACAGCTAACTTCTTTACAGCAATAATTAGAGGGAGATAGTGTCAGTTATATTATTATTGGAAAATAAGAAACTCACTTGATACTCAGCAAAGGCAAGGTTTGTATGATACCAATACATAAAATAATTTTCTTCTGTAGAATTTTCTGAAGGGGAAACTAAGAAATATGAAGAGATTACCAAATAACATCCTATAGCTAATATAATAATGGGTTTTGTGTGGTTACTTCTTATAGTACTCTTTAATAAAAATATGTACCTTAATATTCATCTGCAAATCAGGGAACATGGGTTATTTGGGAAGGCCATTCATATTTTATCATAGCAGACTGGAGAAATGACTTGAGAAAAATGTCATCAAAGTTTTCCTTTCTGTAAAATGACTTGAGAAAAATGTCATCAAAGTTTTCCTTTCTGTAAAATGAAAATATTTATTACCTCCCAAAGTTGAATAAAAATATTTCTACACAAGACTCGACCATGATTAGTGCTCAATAAAAATCTGTTTCCTATCCTATCCTTAGAGCAAAACTCTTTTAAAATATGACAATGAAACATGTTTACTAAAGAAAACTATATAGTTTTTATATTGTGATATTTAAATCTTTTCAATGCTGCTGAATAAAAGAGGGAGCTAACTTGTCACTGTTTTGTAATCCTCTCAAGTCCTTGAAAAGGTATAGATCATAGAAATAACTAACATAAAATGAATTAACCATGTATTTTCAGTATGTCCTATAAATAAAATTTCTCTTAGCTATATGTATGATAAAAGCAGATAAGTGCATTCTATGAGAAGGACTGGCAAACTTACTTGAATGCACTAGGAGCAAATGAGAGATTTTTTTTTTTCTTTTGAGACAGAGTCTTGCTCTGTTGCCCAGGCTGGAGTGCAGTGGTGTGATTTCAGCTTACTGCAACCTCTGCCTCCCAGGTTCAAATGATTCTCCTGCCTCAGCCTCCAGAGTAGCTGGGATTACAGGTGCATGCCACTACACCTAGCTAATTTTTTTATTTTTAGTATAGACAGGGCTTCACCGTGTTGGCCAGGCTGGTTTGGAACTCCTGACCTCATGTGATCCGCCTGCCTCTGCCTCCCAAAGTGCTGGGATTGCAGGTATGAGCCACTGCACCCTGCCGAGAGAGAAAATATTGAGGTGTTGATATACTTTTGTAGCAATTAAGAAGCCTAACCATCATTTTGTCTTAATTGGAGGCTTAATCATATAATGCCTGTGACATCTGGCACATAATTGCCTTATTCTGTTATTTAATCTTTCATATGTGGATATCAAATGCGCAATTAGAATAAAAATTTTTGGAAGGCACATGCCAAAAGTGTTTATGTTTAATTCACCCATAGTTTCTAATCATTATGCACATGCTTAATAAATGTTTCCTGCATGGTTAAACCAAATAAAGAAGCTTCATCCTAGTCAATTAGCTAGGATCACTAGACATAAAAGCAATGAGGGGCTTATAGGTGCCACACTCCAAAGTTCAGAAATAGTTATGGTGCCCTCATTACAACAGTTATGGACTCTACATTAAGTGGCTCAGCAGTTATAGTTGACAAAGAAAACTAAAAATGCATCATGGAAGGTACACCTCTTACCATTCTGCTCTCCTTAGCTTACCTATAACTGGGTCTGTTATACCCACACATTCAGAAATAAAACCTGTAGCTACTTTCTGTATCCATTTTGTTCACAAGTGGAGAGAAATGGAGAAAAAAAGTTTTGAATTTATCTATATTCTTAACCCTAAGCAGCAAACTAAGCTTTCATTCCCATAAAAGTCAATCACCTATCTTAACATATTTATTTTGTTGAGTCTGGTGTTCTTCATATATCCCATGCATCTATACAAATATATACAAAATTGTGGGAATATGAGAAAACCAAAGCTTATTTTTTTCTGAGACTACTGTAGTGAGAGAGTCAGCCACCATTACTATCACTTGGCGAAGACTGAAAGGCAGGGAGAGAAGTGGAAAGCTGTATAGTAGGAAATGAAACTGAGGCTTCAGATATGCTCTGATTAGAGGTTGTTGTCATGGAGAAGATAGATGCTGACTACCTGGAAGCAGGATATCCTATGTGATTGGTTCTAAGTTAAAACAAAGGGCAAAAATTAGGAAAGCCGTCAGTTATTAAGAAAGATCTGTGCATTTGGAGTCAATTGTTAAGAAGTTGTTGCTAAGCTTTCTTCATTTCCAATATTGTCAGTAAAGGCAGCAATCTGTCTTCATGGAAGTCTGTCTAACATCATGCTGGCTTATGAATTGTTGGTTGTAGGTAAAGGTATTGTTTTCCTGGACAGGTTGCTGCAGGTGTGAGTTAAAGTTCTATTATTTTTATATGTGACTTTGACATTGTTATTTGTATATTCAATCTTTCAACACACACACAGACATTTAGTCATTCAGGAAATTAAACTGATCTGCAGGCAAAAAGAAAGGGCAACAGTCCAGCCAAGATCAGGAGTTAGTTGAGATCCAGGCAATATTTTCTGGGTCTAAAATGATATTCAATTTAAACACATGGGGTGGGATATCAGTACTGTAAGAACACAGGACTAGAGGTAGAAATAACAATTATACAACTAATCTGATGAGTTGGTATCAGAACAAGGTGCATGAAAACAAACAAAAAGAAATCTGAATTTATTGAGATTGGTCATAGGCAACAGCCAAGGAGCTGACATTCCTGAGGTATTTTACTGACTGTTGGCATCAAATAAAGATGCTTGCCATCTCAGCGCTGTAAAAAATAATGAAAATTTTCCTATGAGAGGCTTTCACGTGGACTTTTAGGGAATAGGATGCAGATATCATACTGATGTATGCAGACAATGAAGTAAACAGCTGCATACTCTTAAGTTAGTGTTGGTAAACCCTGTTGTGTAGCTAAACAAAGGGTGCTAGAATTATATTATTTAACCTACAGATGACTATTGGATATTTTGGTTATTTTTTGTTTGATAGGTTATTTTCATTTGCTTTTCTATAAAGGCTATACTCTGATACCAAGGAAAAGACACAATAATGTATCTAATCTATATATCTTCCTCTCTATCATTTTTATGTATATGTCTATGATTCCATTTAAAGGAAAGAGATATAAGGTTCTGAAGAGAAATCAGCATGTGCATACAGTCTTGACTGTCATACAAGTTTGGAGACTACTATGGACTGTGTTGGATCAGATGACTGAAGAGTCAAATCGGGGTCTGGAAACTTGGAGGAAAGATTTAAGGGACTGGGCAAAGAGAACTACTTTTGCATATGTGCCCATATTTTGGGTGCAACAAGGATGTTTAAAAATGTTCCCCACTTTATAAGTTTAATTGAAGTAAACACACATAAATTAATTTTTTTCAAGGTTAAACAGTAAAAGCTATTATAAAAAGAAATTGGGATTTTTTGTTTGTCCTTTAAAGCTGGGCAAGTGTTTCATAAAATGAGAAATACCTTTGGGCCTCACATAAAAGATGTATGCCCTATAAATGCAACAAATAAATAATGCTTTCAATGGTATGTAGTCATAAATGATATCTTTGTATATATTACATAATTTTCCTCTCCTGAAAGATATAGTCAGAAAGTTAGAACCCTTAACAACATTCTCACCTGATTTGAAGTTCTAATTCAGAAGTGAAGTTTATAATCTCTCTCAGAATTATTTTTCTTTACGTGAAACTCTAGACATTTTATTACATTTATTTCTCTTTGCTGAAATTAAGTCAAACAAATGGGCAGTCTGACTAACATGTTGATTCTGCTTGCGTTGATAGATTGGAGATGAGTGTTATTGACACATGGAAGAGTCAGTAAGTATAGAACCATCCAAATATCCTACTTTAAAGAGCAGTTTTGTCAGTAAACTGACCATCTCTCATAGTGTAAAGTGTATGCATGTGAATCAGAAGAGCTAATTCTGATCCTGACTCTGAGACCAACTAGTTTAGTCAGGTTGGTCAAGTCACTAAAACCCTCTTATTCTTTTTCTCACCTAGTCAAATGGTAGAGCTAAACATAATTGGGTTTTCTATCAACTCTTAATTTGGAATTAGATGACTTTTGCTAAAAATAGACATTAGAAACAGAAATTTCAACAAAGAGTAGTGATTGCATTGAACATTCATATGAGACTCATCAAAAGGCACCAGCTTGTGAGTTCAACTATATCATGCTTTTTTTAATTCACAAGAGTCTTGTAAGATGGAAAGGAAAGGAAATAAACATTTACCAATTGCCTAATTTGTATCAAGAATTTGATAGATTTTATTTTCATATTTATCAATTCTAAGTAACAACCAAATGAGATGATTATCAATATCCACTTATCAAATACAAGGAAACTAACTGAAGAACAGGGCATTAGGAACAATTCAAGAGTGATACAAAGTATTACTGTGTGAATACAGCACTAGGGCTAGCAATTACTGAATTTCCACAATATACTGCCAATTACCACCTAGCCATGGTGGATTTTATTCATTTGATCAATATATTCCTATACTTGTATGTTATATGCATATCTTCTTTTCCCATACTTAATATATTTTGTGACCCACATTCTTTCTGCAAATTAAAAGGAATTTAAATTGTGTGCACAAAATAATTATAAAATGCAGCAAAGTTCAAGATTAACCCTTTAGCCAATGAAGCTGATGTTACTTTTTTTTCCAGCAAAATAAATTATGTTACTCTGCCTCTTACACATAGTGGATACTTAATAAGCATTCATTGCATAATTAGAAGAATATACATATTAGGAAGAAGTTAGAGAGCCTCATTAGTACACTTGGTTATCCTCTGACTATGCAAAAATCAGAATTCAACTTTAGTATTTATCATTTAAGTCTATGTCTATAATAATTAAGAGTGCTAGAAGAGAGAACACTTATATTGTTCATATAGGTTACACAGGATGTTAATAAAAAATAAACCTGGTCCTAAAATAAAGAATTCCAAATATACATTTCTATGACCAGAAGGCTTTTCTTTTACTTTTTCTATTTTTTTAAGTAGTCTGAATAATTGCCTGAACATTATTCTTGTTTTCTTTATAAAGATGCAGAATAAATGTAACCTGACTCACATTCCAATTTTGGGCTAACCTGCATGATATTTCTAGACTTTATTCTTGATAAGTAATTATCACTTTTAAGACTACCTATTTGTTACTAACATATGGGAAGCTGTGTTATATAATTAATATCATTGCTTTTAATAGAAAGTCCACACAGCAGGGTTCACATCAATATTCATTACATTGAAATAAAATATTCCTGTCCCAGTTTTCCTGAGTTTTCACATTTTAACATCATTTTGTATAGTATGCAGTGAAGTTTTCTAATTTTTCTTTACTAGATTTCACTTGATTTACCTTAATGCTGACCTCAAATCCCAAGTACAGGATTATATCAAAACAGTATCACAAAAGGACTCTGTTGGGATTTGGCTTGGGCAAAACAGAACTACCCAAAATATATTCTATAATATTACAGATTTAGGTGTATTCACATTATTTCCAATATTTAATAATTACAATTTTAGGCTATAATTTGTAAAATGCTCACAAAATTTAAATACATCTAATCAGTTTAGTGTCCATTAGGCAAATAATTCTTCTCACATACTTATTTTATTTATATAACATATATTTACTGATCATCAATGGCATGCCCTCTGATGTATGCACTAAATTAAAAAGATTAAATACCTTTTGCTCCTTAAAGAAGTCCCATTATACTGGGTCACCACGTTTAGATAACTACTTGATATGTGGAGAAGATATTACAACAACTTATATAGGATTCTTGGACCCTATACACGTGATCTGGGCACAAACTAACAGAGGATTATTTTATTCTGATCCTTAAATGCCAATGAACTTTTTAACTATCTTAAATGAACTTAGTTTTAAATCATCAGAATATTAGTAAAGTACCCTTTATGACTCCAAATAACTAATGCAGAAGTATGGAAAGGAGATGTTTTCTTCTCCTGCAAAGTCAAACTAACGTGTTCACCTCCCTAGTACATACATTAATATAGCAAATGATAATTATGGTTATAGTTAGTGGGTGGACAACTGCAGTGAAATGGAAAAAGTCAGAGGATATGAATAAAGCAAGCTAGTTCAGAAATCTTTACCATGCAGATTATATTTAACCCATATTTGAAATTAACCTAAAATTTATTTTAGGTTAAAATTTCGAGAAACATCGGCTATGGTATCTAGCTTAGCCAGTTAGAAATCTTTTCAAATCTCTAGATTCTGGTATGTCTGGCCAATTTTACCAGAAATGCTGGCAAAAAAAGAGAAATATGTTTGGAAATATTTTCTGGTGGGGTTAATTTGTAAGTCATGTTCTTTATGCATGTTTAGGAAAAATTTTAGCTAACTAGAATGTTCTAGGAAATGAATTTTCACTTTAATATTATTACCTGGAAAATAGTATGCATTCATTATAAGTTATATAATAAAACTTTTTAAAAACTGCAGAAGATCTTTTAAAAATATAATCGTCATCATTATTTAAAATGTATTACACATTACCTGAGTAACTTCATATGCAGGCTTTCTTCAGAAGCATCATTCACATCATTAATCTCATTGTAAAGGAAGACAGCTTCAGACAGTTTAATAGATGAAAGTGAATGAACAACTACTCTTGGTAATTCTCTGACACATAACTAACAAACCTTAAATTGCCTAGAGAAGTTTGCTTTCATAGGACTTGTCTTTGTTCCAAAAGTAGAGAAAGGGCTAGGTGTAGTGGCTCATGCCTGTAATCCTAGCAATTTGGGAGGCCAAGGTGGGTAGATTACTTGATGTCAGGAGTTCGAAACCAACCTGTCTAACATGGTGAAAGCTCATCTCTACTAAAAACACAAAAAAAAATTAGCCAGGCATGGTGACAGCCACCTGTAATCCCAGCTAGTTAGGAGGCTGAGACAGGAGAATTGATTGAACCTAGAAGGCAGAGGTTGCAGTGAGTCAAGATCATGCCACTGCACTCCAACCTGGTTAACAGAGACTCCCATCTCAAAAAAAAAAAAAAAAAAGTAGAGGAAAATGTTTAGGTTATATGAATTTTATAATAAATTACACTTGATAGAATGTCTATGTATTTCTGAATTTTAAATATTCTATATCAAAGAAAAAATATAATATTTTCATAAATTTTACAGGATGTCTTTAATCAAATTTTTACCTTTTACATTTTTTAGTTCATGATTATAGAGCAATTTTATTTAAATATTAAATACTGAAATGATTATAATATTATTTTCTAAGGAAAGCTTTTCATATAGGAACTAGAAGTTAGAAAACAAATTTTATAAGATAAATACATTTCTTATGAAGCATTACTGCATCTACTACCTTAGTTTATTCAGAAATAACAGTTCCATTAAGAATATTTGATGTAAATTTCATTGTGTATGTAAACAAGATAAAATTAGAAAATAAAGAAAAGTATAAAGCTATACCCCAAAATTTTCCATTTTCTCATTATCTAGTGGTAACCACTCACAGCTTCTTTGTTGCATTTCTTTCCATTGCTTTCCTCTGAATGTGTATGTGTCTGCACAATGAAGTTCATATTACATGTAGAATTTATTTTATTCAATTTATATTTACTCAATATCATTATTTTGCTCAATACTGTTTCATGCTCATTACCTTATGATATTAACATTTTCTCAAACTACCATATAAGAGCTATATAATATTCTACATATGGCACATATAGACATATCATAATCCATTTAAATAGTTCTCTAAGGATGAACATTTATGATTCAAATATTTTCTATTACAAATAATGCTATAATGAATATCATAGAACCTAAATATAATATTATCTGTTAATTTATTATTTAGGATATATTCATAGTAGCATAGTTTTAATACAAATTTGAATTAAATATTATTATAGAAGTGTTAAAAACTTCTCATAGGTCTTCAACATTGCAAATTTTCATTAAGCTACTGAAACAATTACTATTTTGTAGTAAAACTTAAATACATGGAATTATTATGCATGCTATCAGGTCTTTTTAGTAGTTTAGATAAAATGAAGGAAAATTGAATGAACTCATATATAATTTGTTGATTAAACAGTGAATTTCACCGTGTGGCTTTGTAAAAGTTACTTAACTTGTCAGTGCTTCAGTTTTCTTATCATTTAAATGAAGATTACAATAATAGGAGTTTAGAACTCTGCATGGTACAAAGTAAAAAATGATAGATAAATAGGCAATGAGTTATAGCTATTATGATTGTTTTACTTATTGTTGCGTCATTGGTCTGATGCCTGTAATCTTCAGGTTTCTAAGAGACATGAATAATTTAATTCTTAGCAAATACATAGCTTTTAAGATTTCTACCAAGGAAATTCAGCATTGCCTTCTTTCTGCTCACATGTAACATAATGAAGAGAACAAATATTATCTTTTAAAGTTGAGGCTGAGATAAATGCTGTATAATTCTGAGTAGGAGACAGCAAAGAAAATACATCATCTGGTCTTTCCTTTATTAGCAGTGCTGAGATATAAAGGCCTTTGCATCATGGTCCTTCCTTCAGGGAACAAAATAAAGCTAAGGAAATGGAATCTTCCTTCCTTACTGGACCTCATGATTTATGACTATAATAAACCTGACTACACAAAAGCACACATAGTTTCAAGGAAATGCTAAGTGTCATCTCAACACACCCAGAAGCCTGCCCTTCATGGGAATAAAATGTTGCAGCGACCAGTGATTTACTTCCCTAATCATTTGCTTACGAAAATCATCCTACTCTGTTCATCATCA